TCGCTTGCAGTTCGCCGAAGCCAAGGGCAACGGCGTCTATCACCCGCCGCACTCGCTTCCGAGATCCTCGACGACCAGCAGGGGGCCTGTTGCCTGTTTCGACGCGTAACGTGATCAGATGTTTTCTTTTTTTTTTTGCTGCAATTTCAGGTGTAATATAATCAGCAATCGGAGCTACTTCTTTCTTACTCAATCCCACATACGTTATTAATTGGAATGGTTCTCACGTGTTGGGTGGTTACCGTTAGGAAGGTTTAACAGAGCGGATAAACATCGGATCAACAATCGATGGGCAATGCCAGCGTCTCCTGCAGTTTGTAAGTCAATTGAACAAACGAAAAGAAAACTGATCTCGTCTCTTTCACTCTTGTTCCCACCTTCCCTCTTTCTCTTTTCTGTCGTGCTCTCTCTGAGACTCACTTCTCTCTCTCCGCAGTTCTGCGCTCACTCTCCCCTCTCTCTCCCGCAGCCGCTTCCTCAGTCGCAGCCCTCTGTTTTCCTCTTGCCCGCCCAAAGTGCTATAGGGGCACCATTCTTCGGGGTTCGGGTCTCACAATTCCAGCAATAACAAAGAACAGTCGAAGGTGCGTGCCCCAGCGAATTTCCCAAATGCCCAATGAATTAAAAACATTAAATTTGCACGGGTCCGGGAAGGTCAACCGTCTTTTACACAATCATGTCCAGGTAGTTTCACGAGTTTGACGAGCTTAGCCGARTACYTAATTGGAAATGAAATAAAAKAAATTGAAARGAGCCCTTCGCCCTTGTTCGCTCGAGTGMWKTGTCCCTGTTGCCTGATCACGGATAATTGYCACCCGCCTGTACAACACCGTTGTCATGTCACTACACTTGGGGCGCATCTGGCCCCTCACAAGTGCAGCCTCCTAGCTGCAGCCTACGATCTATGTGATCATGGGGMTGGGAACTTTGAGAAATGAACGWTGSGGTTTCAHTGTTCAGCCTGACAAAACAAAATTAAATTAAAATGGATCGAATATTCGAGCAAGAATGATTCTCTTTAATATTTATGTGTTCCTTCAGAAGGCTAATGAATCACAACATGTCCAGTAGGCTCAGATCACACTCCTACAGGTATGCAGCAGGACCCGCAGTTGGACTAGTTCAGAATGTCACGCTCACACCAAGTCCTTCTTCCAAGTCAAGAGATGATCGGTGGTTCAACACTGCGGATTGCGTAGAAGTAAGGTCRTTGCTGTCGACAACGCAACACCCACACGGTTCCAACCAAGTCAAAAGCCAGACACCAAGTGGGYAGAAAAGACCCTGTAAATACCTGGCAGTAGAAGGCGTGATACTTATTGATGATGAGTGRCCATGCATATCATTCCCTAGACGATGATGATGAGAGCGCAAAAGTGTTGAGAGCTCTTATGATACATATGCAATTTGCRGTCATCAGCCTGATGCTTTGAAATCAAAGTAGCCCTGGCTTGTGTGGTCACCATTGATCTAGGTCAATCAACACTACACTCGAGTTCTCAACCAATCCACTTAATRCTCATCTCCCCAGCCAACAGTTCAATTTCACTCGGAGTGACRAAACCGCGTTTTTGTCAAAGTTGTGCAGATGGTATCCGGTATTATGATGTCGCGGCTTTCCCAAACTCAAAATCCCAACGGTCAATACCTTCGCCTTGAAGTCCACCTGATTTGCGCGAAGGCCGATCTTCATTTGGAAGTCCAAGTTAAGAGCTGCGAGCATTTGTTTTACAACATCTTAA